GTGAGAGAGAGAGAGAGAGAGAGAGAGAGAGAGAGAGAGAGAGAGAGAGAGAGAGAGAGAGAGAGAGAGAGAGAGAGCGGAGGGGGAGGAGGGGGTTGTGTATTAAATTGCTTGTCGGCGTTTCGTCGCCCGCTTATGCGTGTGAGTGAGTGGGGTTCTGTTGACGAGGTTCGCTTATGTGAATGCGCGCATGCGCATGTGTTTGTGCGGTATTGGGCAGTATCTGGCGTAACTCCAGAGGAACCGGTGGTCTCACCGAAGTCCGGGCTTCTGTTCGAGAGAAGATTGATCGAGAAGTACATCGCGGTATGGGTCTTGCAACCCCCCTAACTCTTGTTGGAAAGTGTCAAGGAAATTGGATTGGCGGATTGGTTGAAGTTGACTTTCTGTGGAGGGGCTTTGTTATTAGGGCTTGCATGGGTCGGTTGTTGAGTCGGTTGGCGACTGGTTAATCACGTGTGGGAGGCGGGTACATAGCCTAGCGGGTGAGGTGTTTTGATGATATGGATGAACGAAAGAAAAGTGTGGAGGGAGCAATTCTGCGGCAGAGATGAATGTTCGGCATGCTATAGTAATCGCGAGGTCATCCTTTTTTTTTCCCGCAAATGAGGTGGAATTTGTAACTGTGTGAAGTTGTGGAAAATCAATGAACCACTTGTACTGCCAAACTAGATGGGAAATCGTGCTCTGCCTGATTGATTTGATAATTTGATGAATGCATTGATTCAGGTTTGATGGTCACGTTCTTGTCGACTGAGCCGACTGAGGGGATAACAGGGGTCTGTGCATATAGTTGAAGAGAGTGGGTTTGTTTCCAGTGCACCAGAATCGCACATGTTTGCGACATCATTGCGGCCGTTGATGCAACGACTCTAGACGGCCGTATTCTGTTGTACTGCTTGCTTTCGATTCAGTGGAATAATCCCCCACGGAAATGCCTCTCCCTCTCTTTCGCTGCCGGTGGTGAGGCAGGTATGGAACGGATGCTCATGCCTCCGCCGCGTGAGGGCGTTGCAAAAAGGCGATTGTGACATTATTCATTGGTCTGCCGATCAATGAGCCGGCCCTTCCTCTGCTGTCAACATGCCGTTCTTCCCATCGTTCCACGTTCAATCTCCTTCGCCAGTGAGATGTTCACTGGCGTGAGTCCCTTTTGTCTGCGTCCTTTCCTTTTTCCCTTCGTTCTCGACGTTAGGCCTTCATTCGGACCTTTCTTCAATGGTTGTTGACGACCGGTTTGCCGGCCGGTTGTCGACGTAAGTACAGAGGCCGCACCGACCCGGATGACCGATCGGCCGGCTGACGTAACTTATCTAGCCGCAAGGCGGCTGCCAGTTCGATGAAATGCAGCTCGTTATCGGCACACACAGACACACGACACACAGGCACAGACACAGACACACAAACACACAAACACACAAACAAATATACATGTGACGAGAGAGAGAGAGAGAGAGAGAGAGAGAGAGAGAGAGAGAGAGAGAGAGAGAGAGAGAGAGAGGTTTCGCGCGCGAGCATG